TATATATATATATATATATATATATATATATATATATATATATATATGCCAAATGAGTCTCATTTTATGTGCAAATACAGTAGTTTTTCCTGCACAGGGTTGATGTGTTCTTGTAATTCACACATTGCTTTTTGTAATAAAGTGGGAAAGAGTGATATGACCTTGAGCATGTTGTATGAAATAAAAGTATTAACATAAGTGTCTTTAATTAAGTATATCTGTCAGAGAGAACTGTATTTTATTTTACGATCATTCAAAAATGGTCTGAGAGTGGAAGGCACGTTTGTTGATGTACAGTGTAAATAGACAGATTTTTCTTGACTTGTCAAATTCTTAAACAATAAATCAGAAATTGAAGCTTTGTCATTTTGAGCGTGCTTCTCTTTCTTTTCTTTTAAATCAAGAGCTGCGTTGGAGTTTTATGAAGAACTGTAAGTTCCTGAGTGTGTGCAGAGCTAGTCACGACTGCTCGCCATCCACATTATTTATTTATGTCGGAGTCTGTCAATAAATAAATAAACAGTATATTGGGGGGGGGGGGTTGCAAGAGCAATAACTGACTGACAGTGACTTGACACGGCCTCAGCATATTCAAAGTACCTGTGAAACTTCCCCGTGTGACTGAGCACGGTCTCAGGTGGGTTTGTGCATCTGTTGTGTTGTTTTGCCTAAAACTACCAGCCTCTCTCCTCTCGTCTCCTTGGCAACGTGGTCCGGTGTGATGCAGTCGTCCTCCCAGATATCAGTATTTCTCCTGATGTGTTCCACTAGTGGCGGTTATTTTAAAGAGCACAGTGGGAGGGGTGATAAATAAATTATTGATCAGCAGCATGCGCTCACTCAACTGATGATTTATTTATTTATTTTGCATTTTTGGTCAGAAAAAGGGAAGCAAAGGGATTTGCGGATCATCCTTTATCTCGTCTGAAGTCTACAGCTTCTTATCTGAGTCTAAAGACGTGTTGGGCAAAGAACACTTTTTTAAACAGCTGTAATATTTTTAAAGATTTCTGTTTGGTGCAGCATCACTCCTAAAACTGAATTAAAAAACTACAGACTCCTTTAATATGAGTTACAGTTTTTAACTTTATTAAAGTAGATGAACATGTGTGCATGTAAGCAGAACAGCTGGATTTATTACTACCGGTAATAAGTTACCAATCTTAAATACAATAAATACAAGTTTGAAGATGTTTCACTGTAAAATGTATTTGTTCTGTTTGGCTTAAAGTTTACCGTTATAAAGAAATAATTTAACAGCTGAAGGTAGTTCAGGCTTCGCTGGATGATTGTTACCTGTTTTTTTTTTGTGTGTTTTTTACATAAAACTGTTGAAGATATTGCTTAACATATATAAAGGTTCTCTGTTATTTTCACATTACATAAGAATAAAATATTTGTTCATGCCTCATATTGCAGTCTGTCTTAAAGCATGTTCAGTTTTTAAATCAAGTATGAATTATTTCTTTGAAATTATTTTATCTATTTAATTTTATGGACATTAATAATGCAGCAACAAATCTACGCGATTCTTAATTTTGCAAATGAGTGTTAAAGAAAATTTTGTTTTTGATTATCTTTAGTGTCTCTTGTCTATTTATCTTCCACAATCCAGAAGCATGAAGGGGAAAAAAACACTGAGATTATATAAAAATAGGATTAATTTGTAAGATTCTGAGTCATTTGAAGATTTTATGATTGTGTTGATCCTCTGTTTGTCACTCTAGTTCTGTGTTTGACTTGCTACAATGATTAGTGCCATCAATCACTCAAGAAAATAATATTTTTCATTAATAGTCTGTAGAACCAGAAATTATCATCACATAATGTGTAGAGTCTGGGATAATTTAAATAATAATGCCATGGACCACTGTTGGATATGTCAGATTTTTTATGTATACCACCATGATCAGTACAGCTACATGGGCTCAGGAGTGCCTTAAAAAATCTTGTCACTCAACATAATGTACCGCTGCGAGTGTAGCTTCAAACACAGAGAAGACCGTTTGGTTCTGCACAGAAATGACACCTACAGCTATTAGAGAAAATGTTTGGCAGCATTCATGACAGCACTGGGAGTGATGGTGCAGAGGTTAGAGAAGGTGGGCCTGTGGTCGAAAGGTCGCTGGTTCAACATACCAACAACATGAAAATGTGGGTGGGAAAGGTGAAGCACCCACACCTGCCTCCACCCTCATTTACCCCTTGAGCAAGGCCCTTAACCCCCACCATCTGCTCCCCCGGGCGCCCTAGATAGCAGCTCTCTGCTCCACACAGAGGGCTGTGGTAGCTCTGTGGCCTGTGGTTGCGTCATGAGGGGCATCCGGCGTAAAAACAATCGCCAAGTCTTCATGTGACTTAGTTCACTGTGGCAACCCCTGAAGAAGGGAGCGACCGAAAGAAAATTGGCAGCATGATGGCTTAGTGGTTAGCACTGTTGCCACATAGTTAGAGGGTCCTGGGTTCAATGTCCAGTTTGAAACTGGGGTCTTTCTGTGTGGAGTTTGCATGTTGCCATGTTAGTGTGGGTTTTCCCCAGGTACTCTGCGTTCCTTCTACAAAACATACACGTTAGGCTGCCTTCAGACCTCCCTTGCAAAAAAAGATTTGTGATCTGAATAGGATTTACCTGGTTAAATAAAGGTTAATTATATATATATATATATATATATATATATATATATATATATACATTTTACATATACACATTTTATATATATATATATAAAATACAGGAAACACGTGATCTGTGGTACAATGAGGCCATTTATCTGCTTGGTTTTGTGAAACTTTAAGAGTTCCATGTGACAAAGGTGAGAAAATCTATACAGGTTATAAAGAAAAGGTGAAAATGCCCGTCTGTATGGTGTGTGTGTTGGGGGGTGGGGGGTGGGGGAGTGCTCATATCAGTGATGCAGAGGCAAACAATGCAACCATCAGGCAGGTCTCCCAGTGGGCTGGTTGTCTTTTCAGCAGGACGATGCCAGATGTCATTCTGCATGACTTGAAACAGTGTGACCTTATGTGTGTGTGGTTCACTGGTCCGACTGCCGTCCAGATCTGAAAGGTTTAAAAGTTTCTTTTTTTTTGTCATGTTGTATCCTGAAGAAGAGAGTCAGTCAACAATGACCAAACACAGAAATATTTTATTGAACAGGATTGCACCTTTTGCAAAATAACAAAACCTATAGTTTGATGTCAGGCACATTTGTAGGTCTGTTTAGATTCTTTAAACTCATTTGGACTAGTTGGGCACAAGTAGATTTGCAGATGCATTTAGACGACTGTGCAGATTTTCTCAGCAGAACATTTCCTCGTATGAACAATAAAACCAGTGTTGCTCACTTTACCTGCCAGTGGTCGTGATAAGCTCTGATTCTTTGCAGTACCAGCAGAAGATTGTCCACTAGGTGGTGATGCTTGTCAGGCTTACATGTATTTTTTGCAATCTTGAAGCTTTCAAATCACATATCTCACTGTGAAAAGCTGTGAATGGAAGACTTCTTTTTATTCATTCTTGTCAGAGCTCGAGCACACAGAGTACTTTAGCTGCTGCCACTTTTTCCAGAAGTGGGTGAATTTTGGCTCCTCGGACCATCTTTCAAATTTCAGTCACTTCTTTCTGACATGAGCTGATGTGAGCTTCTGCACAGAGGGTTTTAGCTCAGGTGCTCAGATCGTTTACCACTCTGATGAACTCTCACTGCCATTAAAACCCAACACTTCTCTGTGAAGCTGTCAGTGATGACATGAAACAAAAAGTCTGGAGTTTAGTTCATCCCAACAGCCACTCATCCATATAACGAGTTGACTGAAATACCACATTTTTAGTAAATAAACTGCCTGGCTGGATTTTCCGAGGCTCTTCTACCTGCAAGCAGTAAAACATGTCAGCATTCATGATGTATTTAGTTGTTTTAGTCTCTGACGGAGGAACGGCTGAGTCACATCCGCTTCTCGCTGCCCCATCCTCCATTTCATTTTCACTGAGCTCAACGCTCAGGAACCTGTACATGTACAAATAGGTGCATTTTACCAGACTTTAATTCAATTATTTCTTACTTCCCATTGTTTTATTTTATTTTCAAAACGTAAAAGGAAACAAGCAACCTTGAAATTGTGCATAAGGTTTAAGTTGAATGATGTTTGATTCCTATTTTCTGACATTTACCGGACTGGGATAAAACTGAACTGATTTGTTTAAACTTGTTTTTTTTTTCTGTCAAGATACTCCATAGGTGAGTCAGAAGCTGTTTGGGGAGAGATGCAAAGGTAAAAAAAAAAAAAAAAAGAAATCAATGTGGAGCGTCAGAGGAATATTGTTCTCTGAGTGTGCTTTTGCAAAAATAATGAATGTGTGATGTAGAACAGCAGGAGCTATTTCAATTCCAGGTGATGGGCCTAGAGGAGCTGCGTGCTGCCAGTGCAGTTTGCATGAATTGAACAGGATGATGAGAATGACACAAATTCTCTGAAATCTCCCTTTTTCAAAGACATTAGGTAAAAACTGTGCAAACCAGTTTGTGTTTATTCTCATAATTTTGCAGAACTGAGGTGTATTTTACTAAACAGGGAATAAATTCTCAAAAGCAGCAGCTCCATTATGAATAAAGACGGATGAAATCAGCCTGTTGTTCAAGTTAAACGTGGTCTAATTTCAAAATGTTTGCTTCTATTAGCCTCTGTGCTTTTCATAAGCTCTTGCATCCCTTTGGAGAATTGAACAGTAAATAATTATGAGTAGAGGCTGCTGTATGTGTGGGAGAGAAGAAGCCTGGGCGAGCGAACACCAGTAGGGCGGAAGGTTGCTAGAAGGTTGAATAAGAGTCTTAAGTGGAGAAAAAAAAAATGTTGTAAAGCGATGAC